AGCCAGGCCGCGGTCATTTCCTCGGAGCGAGCCGATGGGTGGTAACGCGCTAAGCCGCAGCCGGCTGATCGCATGCGAGTCCCTGGCCGCAACCCAGCCCGACTGTCGGGAACCACGGCCCCGATACGGGCAACGTGCAGCAGAAACCCCGGCCCCACCGGCCACGGGGTCAGGCACGCGCCGAGGATCTGTGCCACGGTACCCGAAACCCACAGAGGTAAACTGGGGAGCAGGATTCTCCCGGCTCAGGGAAGGGATGCTCTTTACATCCCATCCCTTCTAGAAACATATTTTTCTAATTTTCATGCCGAGCTTGGTTGTATTCAAGCATTTCGGGACAAGACAGCCAACGATGCAGCCCGTAAAGCGACAGTCTCCGAAGCATCCAGCGCATTCAGCAATCGTGTGTGATTAATAAAGCCGTATCGCATTCCTCCACCCTTGGCCTGGTGCTAACTTGTAAGAAATCTGGACCAAAAACTGCAACAAAATGGCTGCTATTCTCCAAGGGCCATTCAGAGCCCTCGTTACTCATCCCTTACTTGGGCAAAAATGACATTGACTGCTCCTGGAGATGACAGGCTTAATTGAGTTCAATAGGAGTTTAGGCTGAGTAAGGCATGAGCAAACAAGCGTGCATTAGCCCATGAATAAAAGCCTGATCTGCAAATGTTTAGGAACACATGCAACGCCGCACAGGGGAGTACCGAGGGGGTCACCGCTGCACCGGGCCTGCCAGGGTCGGGCTTCGGCTCGGTTACAGCATCCAACCCAACCACTGGCGATGCCGGGATGAGCTTGTTCTGGAGCGCGGCGATTCGAGCCCGGCTCGGTGGTTTGTTTCAGTCCTGCCTCTTAATTATTATTTTTTTCCCCCTCCTTCAGAAGTCCATAATCCTCATTTCTGCTATTCTTCGTCCACTGGTGGGAACAGCAACTTCCTTTCCCAAATTATAATATAAAAGAGCTGTAAGCAGTAACGCCATAAATAATATTTTCTTATGGCCAGAACATCCAAGTCTAGGCAAGACACCAAGAACAGCTACAACACTGTAAAACTCCAACACTTCTCCAGAATGGATTCACTAATTAAAAAATGATTCCTTTTTAAAAGCAGTTGAAAAATATTGGCTTTCCCATTACTGCCTGTCGCTCGCTGCGCCGAGAAAGAGCCCGTCCTGCAAACCCGCAGCCCAGACTACCGGCCACAAGTCTGCCTTTCCCCCTAGAAAATGTCACCGAAATAAAAACACGGGGAGGGGAAGGGGAGAGAAAAACACTCCGTCACGATCTCTTTTTTAATTAATTAAGGTATCACCACTTCAAAGCACGGAGCGAGAGCCCCCGAGGCTGAGGCGATGCTCTCCGCTGGGCAGGGCACTCGCTGGGAACCAAACAGCTCCAGCCCTTCCATTGCCGGGCGAGGAGTTTCCCTGCGCTGGCCTCCCCTCCCGTACCTGCCGGGATGCAGCCAGCCCTCTCCTTCCGCAGACTGCCCGGCTGATGGGGCATTTGCCTTTCGGAGCCCCATGGAAATACCCCGCAGCCCCCCCTAAGAGTGCAGGGGCTGAGCCTGTGCTCAGGGCTGGGTGCATGTGGAGCCCCCGCGCCCCGAGGGTCTGGGGCAGAGGGAGAAGCGAGCGGTCGGAGAAGAGCCCCCCGCTTCCATCCTCCTGCTCAGTTCTGGACCAGCGTCTTTCCACTCATCGGCGTGGGATGGGGATGCCGGCAACCACCGCCTGCGAGAGCCGCCAGCACCGCTGTGACATTGGTCCTAGCTAGGATGCGGCGCTCAGTAAGTGGGACCTTATTTTTTTTCCTCTCCTTTGCCTTATAACTGTCTTTGCAAAAATAAAACGCGTTTCCCAGGAGGTTCCCTTGAGGAGCTGCCGGCAGTCGCCTCCACCGCTGGCCGTGCTCGTGCCCCCGTATGAGCGCTTCATGGGGTTAAATCCATCCCTGCACCACCAGCCCCCTAAAACGAAGCTTCAGAAGCCTCAAAGCCTCGTGCTGCAGGGCAAACATCATCCCTGGGGACTGAGAAAACCCTTTCTCCAAGGAAGACACACACTTTGGGCTCAAACGCCGTTGATAAGGCTCCTTCTTTTTTTTTTTTTTGATCTTTTCTTGCAGCGAGCATTCCTTTCACACCCACGCACACCCCAGCATCCTCAGCCATTGGTCTGCCGGCGCATCCGTCACACTTTCCGTCGGCCAAAGTAGATACACATTTCAACTGCTTCCATTCCTCATCTCCTCTGGTGTTAACAGCTAGCGCAAACAAAGGGCCCGAATATCCATCGCCCTATTGAATTGTTTTCATTTGTTTCTTGTGCCGCAGTTGGTTTGGGTTAGAGGGTTTGTGTAAGCGGTTTGGGGTGGGTGGCTGATGCGGTAACTGTTCTCCGGGATGGGGTGGCATTGCGTTGGACACCCATGGCAGATTTTTTGCTCCGCTTGGGCTGCAGGCTGGGAATCCTGAGGGGGGTTTGCAAAAAACAATGGGCAACACGGAGATGTTTTGGGTGCAGGGAGGGAGAAACTCCCTGGGGAGCGGCTGGGATAACGGTGGCTCGTGCTCCAGCAAGAGCTTGGGGAGCCCAAACCCCTCTCTCACCTTGCTTCAGCTTTTCTGCTTCCACCGAAGGAAATGGGGACAAGTGTTAGCTCAACCGTTAGCTGAGTTTTTCCCAATTTCAAACAGATGGTGGGTTCATGGCTGGATTTGGGCAGAAAGCTCTTGCTTTCCCCACATTTGCTGGCCATACCTAGCCAGGGGATTCTGGCCCCGAACCGCAGTGGCTGCTTCTCCTTTTAGCTCACAAGAAGGTCTCTGATCTCGCCGTGTGGGTAAGGGACGGTGTCCCACGCTGGGCCGTTGTTCCCGAGCTGCCCCCACCACGAGCATCTGCCGATGAATCACGGAGCCCGGATTCGTGCAGCTGGTGGGAAAACCTCGGCTCCGTCTGCAAAGCCACTCGGGGCAGATGTTAGCCAGCGGTCCGGCTGCAGCTCGTGGTCCCACTGTCGCTGTCATCTGTCCCCAGCCCAATGCAGGGATGAGTTTGGGCCACGGTAGCATTGCGACACTGCCCAGCAAGGACAAGCATCCCTCTCGCACAACCGCATCTGTCTCATCCATCTCCTGCTCCTCGGCCTTTCCACTCCGGCTACCTCTCGCACTGTTAACTTGAGGGGCTCAGATCACCCCCAGAATGGGGGAAAAACCTATATGTGTCCCAGGAAGGGGACCCCAAATTGTATCAGCCCACACTGGGGTCGGTGCGTGAGCTGAGCAGGTGAGAGAAGCATTATTGGGTAGTCGAGAGCGGTGTTTCGGGGCGCCTTGGCATGTCCCAGTGTTTCTCACCGCTGAATTAATCCGATTTGGGACTGCCCGTGTAGCCAAATGCTCACCCCACAAAGGTAGGTTTGTGCTGGAAATGGGGGCACGGGCTGCCCTGCTCCCCCCGAGCTGCCCCTCTCCAGCATCTCCCCTTCCCAATGACTCCCCGCTGCCCCCCATGACACCCCACAGGACTGTGCCACGGGGTGGCAGCTCCCCTCCGC